TAAGCATTCCCTATTTCTTTCAGGCATATGACCTAGAGTTGTGCAGAGCATGTGCAGAAACACACACATACACACATACACACCAGTGTGCATATAATACAAAGACAGTACTGTGCTTCTCTGCACAGAATACAGATGAATTTTATGACTAGTGCTGGTAAAGAGGTGGGAAGAATTTCAGAAGCCACACTAGTCTGCATGCTTTCCTCACTTCATTTCATCTTTTAGCTGAGAGAATATTTAGACAGAAAGCTGTGCTTTAATCTTTAATCATCATGTTAGGGTTTTAAAAAGAGGGGCGGAGGGTTTTCATTAGAAGAGTAACATGTAAGAAGCAATGATTTTCACTTTTTTCTTCAGTTGCCTTGACACCAAAAAAACCCAAGCCTCACTTATGGTAGCTATAAGGCAAGCTAATGGGAGAGCTCATTTTAAGGTTCTGGCAGCTGTTAAGAAAGGGGGGGGGGAACACCTGTATTGTTTTCCTAAAGAACCCATCCCCACGCTTGCTTTGAATTAATAACCTGAACATTCATGCTTGAATTAACTGCCAAAACCTTAAAGCACTGTATCTAAAATAAACCATGTCAATTTGGTATTGCATAGTGTTAACTTTTTAATCCCATGGCCTCTTTGTCTTTGCTTCATTGGTTACTTTATTATAATAATATATCCTGTAAATCCAAGCAGATACTATGGGCAAACGTAAAGTAGATATGCCAAAAGCTTGGTAGAACTTGTAAGTATATGGCATATGTAGCTTATGTTTAAAAAAGGATATTTCTCAATTACAAACCCAGGAGTGGAGATATGATGAGGAAAAGTCTTTCAAAAGTTGCACAAATCACAACTTTATACCCAAGACAGTACACGGCAGCATCTATACAGGCTTTTTATGTAAGCTAAAATTTGCTGGAAGGCTACATAGTTTTGACTTTTCCCAAGATAACAACACATGGCTGAGTTGTTTGTATAAACAATGCTTCACAACAAATACTTAACAACTCTCCCGTGCCATTTTAGCACTTTTAACTTTCTAGCTGTGCTACATTTCATTGTTTAGAAAGCAGCGTGTACTTTCAAAAGAAAGAGAGAGAAAAACTATTTTTGGCACTGTTTTCATAAACCAGAAAATGTAGGATTTGTCTTTACAAGCTATTTGTAATCTGAAAATCCTTTTTGACTGGACTCACCGGACCTACAGAATCCCAAACTAGCCAACATATTTTAACCTAGGTTGTGGTGAAAACAGCATTGGTATATGGTTAACATATGGTTATATATCATGAAAATTAGAAAATTGGATTAATTAGTTAATCATCATTTACTAGAAGTGTGCAATATAGCTGTCTGTACAACAATTTTCATATCTCCATCCAAACAGACAGCAATTAAACTCCAAATAACCTGGCAATAACATTTGAGAATTTCTTGTAAGTTACACAACTGAGCCTCCTGAGTTCTGTTATACAGCATCCTCTGCCAGCACAGCTGGCTGCCAGGAAGCAAGTTAGTAAGCCTTGAATCTGCCACAGGCCAGAGATAAGGAAATTCAGTGTTTTACTACAATTAGCTGGAATAAAACAGCTCTTGAAAAGTGTTTTTGCAGTACCTTTGAGAATAGACTGTACTCATGGTCAAACAGACACTGAAACCGGTAAGCTACCAATAAGGTCAAAATAAATCTAAGATTAAAAAAAACACAGCAATGCAGGATATTCACAGGGAAGAGCTAAATTTCTGATGTTGTTCTCAACACAGTCTGAAGGGACAGTATGGTTAACTAAGCCACACCGAACCTTCCCCTCATGAAATAGTAGCTGCAGAGTCTGTTCTTCTGTTAGCATTCACCTGATTAGCCTCCCAGATTTGCAAAGTTCAGCTTAGGACTAAGTGACTAGGCTTCTGGATCTAAGGCAGTGATGGCTAACCTTTTCAGCTTGGTTGTCGAAAATCGGGAAAAAGTGTAGCCTTCCTCGGGTCGTGTGTCACTTCAAGAAATATCAATAATTTGGTTTATGACGGACTGGGCTGGGGTGATCACACAGGGCTGTGAAACTCGTCTCCCTGGTCTCTTGGCTGCAGGTGCAGGATGTGGGGATCGGAAGGCCACCTTACAGGGCTGTGAACCTCATGGATCTCCTTTCCTCCTGTAGCATTCCTGAGGTAATGAAACTGACAAACCTCAGTTTATGGCGGTTAAAACTGGTTCTCTGCTGCAAAGATCTTGCGGCAGCGGTGACACCACACCTCCACGCAACAAGCAGGGAGCAGGGATTGGAGCAGAGCACAGGCAGCCTCTAAATGTGCAGGTTTTCCCCACACCAACAGGCGTGTCAGTCAAAGTGCCTCGGTGTGTCACGAGTGACGCGCGTGTCATAGGTTAGCCATCACTGATCTAAGGGATTATCAATGTATGGGTGAGTGGTCCTGTGGACTTGCTGGCTCTGTTAAAATCAGAGTGAGATCACTGGCTCTGTATTGCTGGAATCTACAGTGACAGGATTGCTACCACTTGATGCTTCTGACTCCACTTTCTTCCTAAGTTAGATGTATTCTAATAATGCAAGAAGGCAGGATTAGAACTCATGGTCTCCCACTTTCTAGTCTGATGCCTTCACTATTACACCAGACTGTCTCTCAACTGTGTGTATAGTCTTCATTTAAGAGGGCGTGTCAACTAACAAGGCAGTTAACAAGTTCTGTGTTAATGCAGGGGTTGCCAACCTTTTGGACCTCAGGGACCACCAAATTCATAATTTTAAATGCCGTGGACTGGAAAATCCCCCCAAAAAGTCTGCAGGAAAGTTCCCCACCCCATTTTCCTACTGATCGATCATTCTTTATTTGGGATCGCAGGATACTGTCTCCAGCTCCGTTCTCAGCTTCATACAAGGAAAGTAGCAGAAGTCTTTCTTTCTCTCCCCCAAACTCCACCAGAATGGCACAGCCTTTTGGAGCAAGATGCCTTGCAGGGTCCCAAAGACTCATTTCTGGCAGAGTTTGGGGGAGAGAAAGGAAGACTTTTGCTGCTTTCCTTGCGTGCAGCCAAAAGCAGAAGGAGAAAGAAGCGAAAGAAGCAGCCCGGTGGCCAGGCCAGGTGCATTGGGCAAGTTCCCCCCCTCTGCCCTTTCCACCCTCCCTTCACTATCTTGTGTTGTTCACAATGCAAGTGACACAAGCTTTGTGTTCCCATGGACCATGTGGGCGGCGCAGCCTTGTTTTTGCGCGTACTGGATTAATTGCTTTGGGGGTGACATTTCTCTGCAGAATTTTCTCACTGACCACCAGTGGTCCCCGGCCCACTGGTTGGCGACCACTGTGTTAATGTATTCAGAAACAGGATTATCAGATATGAGTCAGTTGCTTAGTGACTGAATTCTGATCCTTGTGACTGTGCGGATGCTGCAAGTCGTAAGTATGAAAAAGGGTCATAAGTAACTTTTTCAGTGCTGTTGTAACTTTGAATGGTCACTAAACGACCTGTTGTAAGTCGAGGATTACCTGTATACATTCAGAACAGCACTAGATGGCAGTAGAGATACAGAAAGTTCTAACTGTTCTGTCACCTGATAGGCATCTTATGCTTCATAGCTCTGTTTTGAAAGAATGTGTTTAACTATTTGATTAATTCTATCGCCAAAGCCCTAAAATCATAATGGTATCTCCTGCAGGTATAAAAATGTGCTCTGTGCTATAAAACACTCCCCTGTACCCCACTGTCCTCAAAATATTTCTCTAGTGCTAGATGAATCACTCTAATGATTTTTAAACCCTACCACTCATCCCACTTTAAAATTACAGTGAAAGACATAAACAAACTGATGCTTGAAGTGTAAGCTCCAATCCCTGCAATCGCCAGGTAATATTAAGTCTAGATGGGCAAAATCCTTCGGCATGACACCATTACCACTATTGATCATCATGAGGCTTTATGGGCCAAAGTTTTGATTCCATAAAAGGACAGCTTCATTTATTCTTGAAATATGTCCAATGTGTCCAATTCAATCACTATGTTGTGTCCAACTTTTCACAACCCCATGGACCATTGTACACCAGGCCCTCCTGTCCTCCACTGTCTCCTGGAGTTTGCTCCAAAGTTCACTGCACACTAATCTATATATCAACTTCATATTCTTACACAGCTGCAATATGACTGTCATGCCCCTGTTGGAATCTGATTCTGAGGGAGAGGTGGAACAGCTGGCAGGGAGTGGGAATGTGACTCTGGTGGCTGTGGAGGAAACTGTAGAAGGGCACAGTCTGGCTGGGCATTCAGAGGAAGACCCAGGCCCATTCCCTCTTCATCCTAGGGCACACAGGGAGGAATGAATAAGGGAGCAATGTGGGTTATGGGGGAGAAAAAGGTCCTGATTCCCTTAATTAGCTGCAGTTGGGAAAACAGGATAAATGTTAGTGCATAGCTCCTCGCTGGAAGCAAAGCATGAATTAATTTGCTTTGTCAAGTCTTATCTGAGTTCTGGCATCCTCCCAATTGTGTGTTTTGTTATCTTTTGAAGTCTTCAATTCCTTATCCTGCCCTGTCTCATTAATTGCTGCAGCATGGTTTGTGTTGGTTTTTATTTATAATTTATATGTACTTTGTGTTCGGAAGGAATTTCTTCTCTTTAAAAACTGTTCTTGGGAGATTTTTTTTTCTAGATGATAACCGGACATTGGGGGCCAAGTTGGAGGTATTAAAGGGTCTTTACCTATTTTTGTGACTTTGTTGCTTTTGTGCTATGCCCCGGGTCATCACAGTGACAGACTTTATGATGTCAAGGTACATGTGGAACAGATATATTCTGGTAATCCAAACAATTGCTACAATAGAAGCAGACCTTTCTCAAGGCATCCACTTTGTCACTGATGATACTGAAATTTTAGCGCTTTGTGAAGGAGGTAGAAATAGAACGCCATAACTAATAGTTCACCAAAGCATTTCCTTGGCCACATTTGATTTTGAGATGCTAGGAGACTGTTGTTTGTTTGTTTTGCAGGTGTACCTTTCCCCAAGAATTTCCAGCAGGTTTGCACCAAGATCCTCACGCGCCTCTTCAGGGTTTTCGTCCATGTTTATATCCATCACTTTGATAGCATCATCGGTATTGGTGCTGAAGCTCATGTCAATACTTGCTACAAGCACTTTTACTACTTCATCAATGAATTCAGTTTGGTTGATCAAAGGGAATTAGAACCACTGGTAAGAACCATCCTATCTTCCTTCTTGCTTCTAAACTATGGCGTCATCATGTGACATATCACGATTCTCCCCCCTTCGCTAAACTGGGCGTGGCCAGCGTGTGATACATTTGGCCTGTGGGCCGCAAATTTGACAGCCCTGTTCTAAACAGGAAAGTTTTTTTTGGATGAAAGAATGCTGGAGAAAGCAGTTGTGTAGAAATAACAAAGGGATCCTTTAGCTTATTGCTTTTCAAGTTCACTAGTGATTAAGTCATGCACAATTAATCTGCATTGGCACATAGTTTTTATGTTGCAAAGACAGGGAAGTAAATTAGGGAGACATTTGGGATGATGGTGGATAAGAACATACTTTTGGAATGAGACAAACTGATCCAGAATAGAACAAAGAGACCACCAAAGCAGAAATTTCATCTACGCAACAACCCTGCAATTCTAATTGAGTAGCACCAAGGCATCTCTATTCCTTTTTTTTTTGAGAATCTTAATAAATGTTTTTTTTTTTTGCTTTAGAAGAACATAGGTAATTCAAGAGCTGCACTAAAATTTCTCAGCTGTGTACTTCCTAGGTGCCTTAAGTAATGCATGTGTGATAAGACACTGGAGTAAAAAAAAATTAATGCCATCAAAGTTCCAGCACAGTACAGCTTCGTTTTTTATTTATTATTAGATTTATATGGTGTTTTTCACTTTAATTTTATCCCCACAACAGCAACCCTGTGTAATAGATTTAAAGGGAGTGACGTCCCTCAATTTAGAGGTAACCCAGCAATTTCCCATGCTATGCTTAACCATGCATTTTAAAACATTGTTTGTTGACTAAACCAAATTTGGTTAGCTTTATGTAGTGCATAAGCCAAAAACCATATCTTATGAACATTGCTGGGTTCATCTATTGCACTAAGTTGTAATAAGATTTTTTTTAAGGTTTTCAATTTAGCAAGATGTATGAGCCTCGCTGCGTGAAAAGGGATTGCTCCACTTGAAATCTATTTTTTTCTGATGAGGTGTTTGTCTTTTGGGAGCAGTTTTGTAGATGAGGATATCTATGCAGTGTTTCACAGACATCAGAATAGCTGCTGATCCTAAAAGGCAATTAAAACACAGGAAATCAATGAAGGTGGGAAGAAGGAAAAAAAACTTTGTAATAAGTTCCCTCCTTCCTGCTGTTTCCCTTAAGGCATAATAAGAGGAAGTTTCTCCACAAATATCCTTGTAAAATGGTAGTAATGTGCTCAGTATTGTTGGCTGGCCAAATAGGAATTGTTTTTTTGTTCTTTGTACCATATTGTTCAAGCAATTGATTTTAAACAATTCTTTAAACATATGAATTTGTCTTTTTGGTGTTAAGATATGCACAGCTACATCATGGCTTTTATTCCTCCTGCTTGTTCCCAGATTAAAAGTGAAATGTGATTAACAACATATCCATCGGCATCCATTCCTAAGCTCAGGAAGGCCGACATGATGAAATGTGTGTCCTGACATCATTGCACATGCTCAGCCCTTTTTGTAGTTGTGGTGTGATTACACACGAGAATGCAAGGAACACAGTTTGCCTCACGACATTGTGATGCACATTGTATTGATTGTTGTAGAGCAGGGGTGTCAAACTAACATTGTCATGGTGGTGTCACATGATATATTGGGAGTTTTTCCCCCTTCGCGAAATCAGGCATGGGCGTGGCCAGCATGTGATGCATCTGGTCCATGGGCCAGAAGTTTGACAGTCCTGTTGTAAGTAAAGGTAAAGGTTCCCCTCAAACATACGTGCTAGTCGTTTTTGACTCTAGGGGGTGGTGCTCATCTCCGTTACAAAGCTGAAGAACCAGCACTGTCTGAAGACATCTCTGTGGTCATGTGGCTGGCATGACTAAATGCTGAAGGCGCACGGAATGCTGTTATCTTCCCACCAAAGTGGTCCCTATTTTTTTACTTGCATTTTTACATGCTTTCGAACTGCTGGTTGGCAGAAGCTGGGACAAGTAATGGGAGCTCACTCCGTTATGTGGTGCTAGGGATTCAAACTGCCGACCTTTCTGATTGACAAGCTCAGTGTCTTAGCCATTGAGCCACCCTGACCCTAAGCGGTGTTATAGAGGAACGCTTAAATAATCTTGGAATAGGCAACAGTGAAATAAAAGATAACAGCCCTGGGGAAGGGAAGGTGTGAGAAAGAAACTCAAAACAATCCTGCCTTGAATTTGATTGGTGTCAAGACTAGGCACAGAGAAAGTCTGTCAGGCTTTCAATTAGTATAAAGGTAAAAGTAAAGGTTTCCTGTCTAGTCATTTCTGACTCTAGGGGGCAATGCTCATCTCCATTTCTTAGCCAAGGATATTAGTGTTGTCTGAAGACATTTCCGTGGTCATATGACCAAGGCGCATGGAACGCTGTTACCCTCCCACTGAAGTGGTACTTATTTATCCACCGGCACTTGCAATTTGCATGTTTTCAAACTGCTAGATGGGCAGGAGCTGGGGCAAATAACAGTTCACAAGTCACTCAGGTCTTGAACCCAGGCAGTCAAACTCAGCGTCTTTAACCACTGAGCCACTGTGGGCCCCTTCACTTAGTATGCCCTGCTTGAATCTGTAGTGTTCATGTAGTCTTTGAACCTGTTTCTAGCCTGCCTTATCTCAACGGGGGACATTTGCCCCCACCCCAAAAATCTTATGAGCATACCTGCTGTAATACCGACAATGGCACAACTTCCATATCTCAGTTGCAAAGCTCATTCCTTCTTTAAGATTATGGGGTGCAAGTTCACTGAAATACCCATTGCTAACATTAGCTTAAATGCTTTGACAAGAATCCTTCTACAAAGATAAGCAAAAAGAAAAAAAAGCAAATTCAGATATTGCCACCAAATTAATTCTGTTCCCTGAGAGAAGTCGCTAATATTGGGAAGAATCTATGACCTCCATTCAAACTCTGTACATGTTCCTATTCTGTTGGCAAAGAGAAAATAGTGGATTGGGGGAAAAAAAAAGTCACATTCTGGTAGAGAGAGAGAGAGAAGTTCCCTGTGGATGGGCTTCTGCATGAATCTGAAAGCTCGGAAGACTAAACTTCTGGTCCGATGACCGACTCAGATTGGATCCTGGGGGAAAAAAAAGGTTCCTAAGTAGAATTCCTGCTTTACATGTTTGAAAGTTGCCTTGTGGTGAGATGGCAGCAAACAAAATTAAAAATAAAAATAAAGAGCAGGGAAAAAAAAACCCATTCCTGTGTTAAGTAAAGAAGGAGGCAGGGAAGAAAAATCAATTTTGTATAATGGGCACAGCTAAGGTGTAATTATTCTATTACATAGGCATTAAAGCTATTTGGATAAGCCCATTCTTTCTCTAATCATCCCTTCTTGACCTCTTTTCTTGCACCAGTAATTGGAAGAATTATGTGGCAGTCCTGATTTTGTACTAAATTACTTCTTAGGAAGGAAACGTGTTGAATACACTGGACTTCCTTCCAAGTAAATGTAGAATTGTGCTGTAAAATGTTTCTTTTGGGAATTGGTTTCAGGTTTGAATAGTAATTTAGAAACAAGAGTAGACCCTTCTTTTCTGATTATTTTACAAATATGTACATATATGTACATATATTTATATATGGAGCTTTATGTAGAATAAAGAGCATCACGTTGTGGCTGGTATTGTAGCGCTTCTAGGAAGGTATGAAGATCCAGTGATGACCTCTCTTTTCACGTCACATAATGCTGTAGCTGGAGGCTTATGAACATGAGGAATGCTAATTTTCCCCTCTATTTTTTATCGATTGGGGAAGGGGTGTCCACTGCAGTGAAAACAATTTCTGAAATAGCTTGGTTTCATTTTCTTGTGCTTCAAGGGAAAAAAAAATCCAAATTCCTTACTTATCTTCTAGTCACCCTCTCAAGCTCATGGGGCTACAATGGATGATAGAACCAACACACATTCGTTCTGGGATCTTATCAGTAGACTTCCAGAGAATGGAAACACTGAGAATTGAAATTGAAGTAATAGCGCACCTGTATTTTTTTTACCTCTTTAAAAGGGAGTTTTGATGCAAATTTTTGCAGGCGTAAAGTGGGGACAATAAGTTACTGGTTGGAAATAGAATTTGATGGCTGCTAACCAAATCAAAGCAACACAGGTAGAAGTATGGCTGGGATTCTAGAGTAAATGTCTACAACTTTTGAGCATTCTTTCCGAGAAGCCCTCTGGGTTTATACAGCCTGGCCTACCTGATAAGGGATAATTACTGCTGTCACCAATTATCTTCCATGGGACACCTCAACTACTGTCCTTCATCTATCCAATCTGTGAAAGATAAGATGCCCACAATTTGTTTTGCCCTTCAGTTTAGAATAGAATAGACCAGAATTCTTTCTTGGCCAAGTGTGATTGGATACACAAGGAATTTGTCTTCAGTGTATAAACTCTTAGTGTACATACAAACAACAGAGTGATAAATCATAAAATACAATCATAAATCGTAAGATACAAACAATTGATAAATCATAATATACCAATAGAAGGTAGTAGGAAAGATGGAAGATGACAAGGATAATAGCAATATACCCTTTTACATGGGTAAAAATCTTTAGGCATAAGATAGTTCTGTGGGAATTTGGTGTTTAGCAGAGTGATGGCCTTGGGGAAAGAAATTATCTTTGTGTCTAGTAGTTTTGGCAATGCAATGCCTGTAGCAGCATCTTGAGGGGAGAAGTTGAAACAGTTTATGTCCAGGATGTGAGGGGCCTGTAGATATTTATTTATTTGTTTGTTGAAGATAAACTGAAGATACATTCATTTCATAGGAGATAAATAAAATCTTTTTTTAAAAAAAGGAACCCAAAATATAGCTCATAAAACAGTGATTGTCTGCTATAATTAAGGATGTTGATTGTAAGTTCATAGAAAGAAGAGAAATCTTAGGGAAACAGTCTTAAATTATACAGAATGTCCTACTTGCTCGGAAAAATAGGGCTAAGAGAAAAGGAAGCTTAAAACAAAGCCTCATTCAACATTTTTCTAACGTTTTTACCTATTACTTAGAGACAACTTAATCCCAAAACAAAGTCTTTTTTTTTTATTCTGGATCTCTTCTCATTTATTAGTGTAATGCTAGTCATTTATCAGAGGTGCTGAGGGCATCAGGTACAGGAACTTATTTTTCCCTGGAGATTTCCAATCTCTCTTGAAAAGATTGAAATCTAAAAATAGCAAATAAAAATGCAAATGAAGTCCAGTCTTTAGACTGGCAGGGATATTATAGTATTATGAATGCAGGCTGGCTATTTGTAACAACACATGTATCCTTCCTTCCTTCCTGCCTTCCTTTACAAATAAAACAGATGGAACTCGGTAATTTAATAAAGTAGGCAACCACTCTATTTTTTAAATGGGAAAAGGGCTGAGACACAGAAACCGCCTCAAACATCCGCAGATACGCTAAATATGCTTTTTCCATATCTGAAACAAGATGTGGCATTTTATCCACTTTAGCCAATATGCATGCAAAAGTTCATATCTTTGCAGAAGTGCTTGTTTTTCCTTACTCTTTTCATGTGCAGTTTTGGGGTGATTTACTGAATTCTTACAGAAATTTCTCTCTTTTTCACTTGGTAGTATAAAACGAATCACTGAATTCTTTCCATCTAGGACTAACTTTACAGATGCATCTCTCAGGAAAGCAATAATTTGTTTTACAGTTTTTTGTTACAAAAATAATGCCAAGAAATACAGCAATCCTGGAAATACACAGGTTGCTATGGGGATTGTTCCCCTCCATTATCAAAGTTGTCTGACAAGAAACATTGAAGAAAATAACCCAGTGTGGTTTTACAGGGAGGGAGGGAGGGAGGGAGAGAGAGAGAGAGAGAGAGAGAGAGAGAGAGAGAATTCTTAATTGGGTCATTTTAGACCTGTTAATGGAGATGAATACTGTATCTAGCTCTCTGTGTTTCCTCACTACTGAGCATCAAAATACTACATTTTTAGATAACCCTTTTTCCTTTGCTGGCAAGGTCCTCTTGCTGTTATTATGGTATTGCACAATATATGATAAAGAATTCAGGGCTGACCTTTTATTTAGATAGATATTATAAGCTGCTTAAACATAGGCTATTATAATTGCAAGCATAATGGCAACTCCCAAACTTTTTATTTATTTGAAATAATTTCACGCGACTTGTTTGCATGTCAGTTATTAGATCAGAGAAGTTCAGCCTTGGCAACGACTTCAACTCCCAGAATTCTCCAGCCAGAAAAAGTTGCCAAGGTTGGATACCTTGTAGATTAGATAATACAGGTCATTATATGAGCTTCCCTCTTCAGATTCTAAATTCTTTATGCTATTAGAATGTCATGAAAAGGCTTCTGCCATCCTCATTCATCTGTGATGGAAACTTTACTTGCGACAGCTACGTCCTTTCTTATTGTCATGGTGAAATTAGATAGAATGTAGATTTTATCCTCCTTTTTCCTTATATATATTTCCCTCTTATATCTTCGTTTCTTTGTGGTAGCAAAAGGAAAATAGTAAAAAAGTAGAAATTGATTTTTTAAACACAACACAAGCTTTTATCAGCTTTGTCTTTGAGCTTTTGGGTTGTCACCATGGCAACTCAAAGAGTCATTGCCAATTTTTCCTCTTTTTACGGCCCATGTCTCATTTCAGCATTTTAGTCCTTTCATCTGAAAGGTCTTTAGTTAAAGATGAAATCAATCTAAAAGTTAATGATATTTATTAGGGAAATAATTGGTTCAAATGACTTGCAAATGACAGCAATTTATCTACAAATCTAATTTTTTAAAGTAACAATATGGTTACCAATAGCCTCGGATAATTTTTTAAATTAGATATTCATTTATATATTCAGCTGAATTTTGGTCAAGCTGATCTTAATTGGCAGAAGAAGTTTTGGGAGCCAGTTATTTTTGGCTCAAATCTCACAACAGTGCTGAACTTGACTGAAGACAGCCTCCCACCTTCCATACGATAATCAAAGTACTTCAACATTTTGGTTTGGAGCAGGAAGGAGACAGGAAATTTTCTATCAGCAAAAGAAACTTTCCTTGGAGAAAGACTATTAGAAGAAGGGGATCTACTCTTGAACTCTAACGTAATTTGTCTGGTAACATTGATAATATTGGTATGCTCTGAATAGTCCAAAATACTAGAATACCTCTGGTAAAAAACAAACAAACCATAATACCTGTGAATGTTGAAAAAATATAAATCAGCAGGTGTTAATGACATAACAAAGATGTTAACATTTGGATTTGCTTTGTTTAAGGAATGGCTGTGCAACTATTTAATGTAAGGAAGACTTCATCCATAATTAACAACTGAAAACCTGCATTATTGTTCCTTTATATTACCTAACCACTATGTATTATTTGCATATATGGGACTATTTTTCTAAAAGTCGACTCAGTTTCTTTCAAATAAATATAATGTAGTCATCTATCCATTCATTCATTCTTCATTTTCTTCCAGAAGGAAATGACAGAAAGGATTTGCCATTAAAGATAACTTAGACAATGTTGCAAGATCAACATTTATATGGACAAGATGTTCTGATGATGCTCCAATGGACAACTCCCTAAGAATCTGAGGAACTTTCCGTCTTGGAGTAAGCTTCCAATACAATTTAAATTAATTTCTGTGGACGTCAGTAAATATAATTTTCCTTTCTCTCACTCTGTGGCCTTCTGATTCTTGCCACCTATATTGTTCTATTTTGCATTCATCCTCCGGAAGCTGCAGATAATCCACCTACACTGGCCGAGACAAAGAAGATATTCCAAGTGGACGAATATCACCATCCTGCATTGCCTGTCAAAGAAAAAAAGTTTTTTTCTGTAATTCTATCTTGTACTTTAAGGATGCACAGATGATCCTTCAAAAATGTGAATGCATCTTTCTAATAAATTACTAAAAATAGTTTAATTTAGAAAGGCAGAGATACGGCCCAGAGGGATGCAAGTGTGATGGATGGTAAAGAAATCTGATAGATAAATAAATGAATAATAAAATATTTTGAAAAATATAATACTACTGAGATTATTTGATTGGAAAAATATTCTTTTCCTGTAAGGCACAAGTGAATAAGGAAATAAGAGTATTTCTTGGAACAAGGAAGCATTAAGCAGCTGTTTGGTTCAGATTTCTCCTAATTTCATTTATCCTAATTGACATTAGGAGATATATATTGAAAAAAGCATAGATGCATTCCACTAAAATAACCAGCATAGCATTTGCGTTTAGATCACTTGCGTCTGTGAGTCAAAGAACTCTGGGGAAATACAACTACCACACCATGTTGAAACCAAGTTCAGCAACATAATCAATGTCAGAAAACTATCAAGTAATTTCTTAACAGAATATAGCTATGGGCCATGAAACACGTACACTTTGCTTAATGAATTTTAGTGTATTTATTTTGTATAAATCATTAAAGATTCTATTAAAAATTGAGCTGGGAAGTGAGATTAATGGTCCATGTAGCTCAGTCCTCTCAAGGCTGGCAAACTGTAGATTGTAACCGAAACAAAATTTCAAGTTCTGAAATACCTGAGATTGAATTGGAAACAGGATCTTTCCATAGTTTTAAACTCCTGGGTTATTTTGGGGAGAGGGGAGTATCCTTTTGCTTTCTCTTCTCTTTTCTTCTACTACTCTCTTTCACTTTCTACATCAGTATTTACAATTTGTGTTGCCTTCTCATATTTTTTCCTATGAAAGTTTAATCACAATTATCTGTGGCACAAAAAAGATGCAGGTTCATATTGTCTTCAAGCAAACAAGTTAAAAGAAAGATCACAGAGAAAACTTCTACAAATGAATAAAATGCTAAGCGGCTTGTTTTTTTCATTCCCTTTTCTGGTTTACATTTGTACACAAATATGCTGTACATTCTTTCTTCCACCCGGCCCTTTTGTCAATTGAATATATTCAAGTACAATTTTAATTCCTATTCTTCAGTGCCAATTTTATGCTGTTTTAAAATACTTGGGAGAACCAGTTTAATGTAGTGCTTAAGGCATCAGGCTAGAAACCAGAATATCTCATTCTGCCTTAGGCACAAAGCCAACTGCATGACTTTGGGCCAGCCACTCTCTCAACTCTACAACCCAGGCAATGGCAAACCAGTGTTAAAAGCTTGCCAAAAATACTGCAGGGACTAGTACAGGCAGTCAACATGAGACAACCTTGATTTGAAGTTGTGAGCACACACACACACACACACAAGTACAGGTTTACTATACCATGTCTATTACCATGGTATGAATTTCAGGCAATCATTTTTATTTATTTGGCCTTCAAGTGGCAAACAAAATAAAAAGGTAAAAAGGTAAAAATGGATAAACTTGAATAAAGACATCTAACAATCTGAAAATCCTATCTTAAATGTTATTATGGATCCCCTGCCGAAGTCTTAAAGCTAGGTAACAAAACTTTCTGAGGTGTGTTGTTTATCTGTTAGCTGTTTATCTAACATGCAATTACTACACCATCTTCTAACCCAGGGTTTTTCAAACTCTGTTTTGCAAGGACCCTAGGGTTCCATGAGAAATTGATGAGGTCCATAAAAGACTGCGGTTTGGTTGAATGCAGCTTAATTTTTGTCCCGGGAATGTTGGATTCTGGCAATTTGATTGTTTTTTTAGAACCAGCAGGTTCCACAGCCTGAAAAAAAAAATCTGCTACTCCTTGCTCTAATTGACATATTTGTTTGTCCACTGATCTGTGTCATACTGGGTGATAAATTACAGTATGTGAATGTCCACATCCAAACACTGCACCAATCTGAAAGCAGTGCAGGGTTTATGTGATCCCACGGTGTCAACTTTATTCCGAAGCTGAGCTGGTTTATTTCTGTCTTCGGGGAAGTACATTTGAAGCTATTATAGAACTACAAGCAAGCCATTCTCTGTCTCCAGGAATTCTAGCCTCATTGTGCCTCCTGATCTTTGATCTTCCCAGGATTTGGGAGCAAAACATCGGGTGGCTTTTCTGTTCTCCTAGTAGGAACTGTCATTCAACTTAACAAAAGAAATTTTGGGCTCAATTGTGATCGTGAGTCGAGGTCTACCTGTAAATAAAGTAAAGATCTGGACTGTCTGAAAAGTTATGTATCCTTTCCCCCTTTTTACAGGAAGAAAAACTATATAATGTCTTGTTAGTAACCAACATCACAATATACTAATGAAAATGGAAAGAATAGAGCTTTAATGCTGCCTACAGGTCTTATTTGAGAGTCATTCTTATTTTTTTTAACCGTAAATGGATTTAGCAGCCCATTATTTCTCTTCCTGGTGGTTAGTGAGCTCATTAAATATGTAGACAAAAGACTTCAGGGATATGAGGTCTAATTAGATAAGCATTTAGAAAGCACAGAAATCTTCCCATAATAACTAGGACATAGTATCATAAAATGAGGTACCTAAATTAGAGTTACTAGTTTTCCACACTGCGGCATAGTTCTTCCTCGAAAATTATTTTGTTTTCTATGCCAATTAGATTGTTTATTGGATTAAAGACTTCGGGCTTGGCTTAGATATTTTTCTCTCTCCTAATGACATGATAGTTGTTCATATTTAGGTGGACTTGAATGATTAAGACGACTGAACTGTAAGAAGTACCATGTCTAGTTCCTCATCCAAGATATTCCAAAACTTTGGCAAAAGAAAGCAAAAATAATACCAACAGTAATAGATTCCTTGGATCCAATCTCAAAATTTCTGGAGCAGCCCTTGAACACCATCAGCATTGACAAAATTATCAATGGCAAAAGGCAGATTTACTTGGAACAGTTTACATCCTGTCATGATACTTTTAACTCCATGAATATCTTTCTAGCCAAACTTCTTAGGTGTCATGCCCCTGTTGGAGACTGACTCCAAGGGAGAGGAGGAAGAGCTAATAGGGAGTGGAAGTGTAGCTACAGAGGTTGTGGAGGAGGCTGGGGAAAGGCAGAGGCCGGCTGGGCAGTCAGAGGAAGATCCAGGCCCATCCCCTCTCCATCCTAGGGCATGCAGGGAGGAGAGGATCAGGGAAAAGCGAGGTCTACTCAGGAGGATCCTCCTCGTGGCTTGCAGCTGGGAGCTATGTATATAAGTTTGTAACTGCATAGTCAGAATTGCTGGAGTCAGCAGTTTAGTGTTTACTTTGAAAGAGGTTTATCTTTGCTGGCATTCTTCCCATGGACTCTCCTCAGTTATCTTCCTGGAATGTACGATTAATTATCTTGGCTTGCTTCGGAACTCTCGTCAATGCAGTTTGTTTTGGTTTTCTTTTTGCCTCATTATTTATGACTTTAAACTGTACCTAATAAAACAGTGAAGTTAAGTTGAAGGCATTACCAGACTTTAATGTATGTTTGGGGTTATTTTGAGAGACTATGGGTCATCACAACTGGTTAAAAGGACGGACATGCGTATGGGCGGGTGCTGGAAACAAAGTGTGGAAATATCTCTAGTTTGTCATTCCTCTCTGAGTTTGGCGTCCTTCCCAGTGTTTGTTCGATTTCTGTGGAGTCTTCACGCCCTTATCTTGCCTGGTTCCCTTAATTGCTTCTGTGTGATTTGTTTTTACTCTTTATAATTTATAGGCATTTTTAGTTTAAATGGCATTTCCTCCTTTTCGTAACTGTTTGTGGAGGAGTTTTTTGTCTCCAGTCAAGGATATTTGGAGCTTTGAAGCAAAGTGAAGGAATAAAAGGAGCTTCACCTATTTTTGTAACTGTGTTTATTTTGTATCCCACCCTGGTTCATCATACTGGGAATGACTTGATAGGTGGATAAAAATGCCAAATCTAATCTAAATATCTGATAGTGCAACCAACATTCACAATCATCCTGCCCATAGTTATGCCTTTTTGATATTCTGATGTTTGAGAACTATGCTGGCAGTGATATACAGCTAGTCCTCAACTTACAACAGTTCGTTTAGTGACCATTCACATTTACAACCATTGTAGGATCCCCATGGTCATGTGATTTACATTTGGATCAACTGGTTCATATTTATGGTGGTTGCAGTGTCCTGGGGTCATGCAATCCCCCTTTTCAACCTTCTGAGCAAAAGTCAATGGGGAAGCCAGATTCACTTAACAACGGTGTTATTAATTTAACAACAGACTCACTGAACAACTGTGGTAAGAAAAGTCATAAAATGGGGCAAAAGTTACTTAACAAATGTCTCACTTAGCAATGTAAGTTTTGGGTTCAATTGTGGTCATAAGTTGAGGACTACCTGTGTTCTCCTTAGATGGGTCACTCACATCAGACAAATCTCCGAAGAACCAGACTAAACCTATCCATTTATTCATTTACTACACAATGGTGGGAAAACAGTAGGCAATGGGACTCAGAAGCTATGTCTTGGCAACTAAGGCTCACCCTGAATCATTACTGGAAGAAAAACTACAACTACAGACAAAATAAAAGTATATTCTGTTTGAAAATCATATCATTATGGCCTGCTTTTATAAATAGGAACCAACAAAGTAGGGCTATTTAAAGCAAATGTTTGAACTGTGGGAAAGAATTTATCCAGACTCAAATATCACTGAATGATTTCCAGATCAAAGGAAATCCATTATCAGAAATAAACTATTGAAAGATACAGAAAAACTGTGAAAATGTAAGATGGCGGAAACAATAGTAGAACAGTAGAAGAAACTCGGATAACAACAATTGGAAATATAAAGAAAATAGCTGATGTTGACTACAGAAATTAAGACTTATAACAAGTCATAATATCAGAGCAGGCAGAGGCCAGCATTGAAACAACACATGAATTTATCCCTCGACAAGAATAATTAAAATGAAAAAAATGATGGCAAATGCAGAATTATCCAGTAGAAAGAGACTCTCAGCAATGAAAGCAGCACCTTAAAAACAGCCTGCCACCAATAATGAAGGTGTGAATAAGGAAACTGCAAGGATAAAAATGCCAAATCTAAACATCTGGGTGACTACACAACCAACCACAATAAACCACCAGACTTTCTCCATCACAATTTGTTCCCAGCCTGGTTTTCAAATCTTCCAATGGTGTAATCATTGCTGCTTTAATGGAGTCCATTCACACTGTCGCTGGTCATCATTTTCTCTTTCCTTCCACCATTCTCGGCATCACAGACTTCTCCAGGGCACTAGATCTTCATCTAATATATCCAAAGTATGATACTTTGAATATGGTCATTTGGAGCATATTGGAGCCTTGACTGAGAACTCTGGGTTGATTT